GCTGCGCTCGGGCGGCGGGTCTGTGAGGAGTTTATGGGTGGGCCGTTGTGACAGGAGTCAGCGAATAGGGAGGAGAAAGCGGCGAGTTTGGCGTGGGGCTGTGTCTGTTGACCCGCTGGCACTGAAAAGATGCGCTATTTTAAGTACAGCGGCCGAAGCGAGGTCGTATTAAACCCTGACCCTTTCTCTCATGCTCCCTTTCCAGTGGGTTTTCGTCTTGCTTAACTGGAGGACTTACCTGGTTGAACCGAATCTTGCGGAGTAGTACGGTTTTGAGCTGTTGTCTGCACAGTAAGGGTAGAGAGACGGCGCTCCTCTCGCAGGGCTCCTGGCAGAACGTCCTGAAGTTAAAGCCTGTCTTCAGCGGGCGCTTTGCGTGCTGATTACAGAGAAGTGGCAAAATATGGAGTAAAAGGCAGTCTTCTGAGTTACCCACCTTCCATCACCTTTTCTGCAGGTTTCAACATAAGCGCTAGGGATCATGGGCACCAGACTGGTTTTGGATAATGGTTCTTACCATGATCGGATTCACTGTCTTCAAAATACCAGCACTACCGTTATGCCTCACGGTGCCACACTCCCCGTGGTTTGCGCTGCTGAAATGTGCACCGTGCCATTTCACCGCGTAGTAAAGAGCTTGCTTTGTTAAGCCTGTGTGCTGGGAGACATCTCTGCCTCTCCTGGCCTTTGTTGCCCCGGCTTCCCATTTGCTCCGTGGAGCCGAAGTGAAGGCTAGTTCTGCTACCTTTGTATTACTGAGGAACGAAGCAGGTTTTTTAAGTTGTCCTTACATGCTGCCTTAAAGAGGTGCTTTTTAAGCATCATCACACTGTTGGTTGATGTTACCCTCTTACCTTAAAATTGTACTTAATTTGATCCACGTTATTTTTCTCGAGCAAAATACAAATAACAAAAGTGTGTGTCCATAACATCCTAAATAGAAAACAAGGCTGCAAAGCGCAGGTGAGAAAATGAAGGAAGAGCTATGACTTAAGTCTGTCTGAGTAACCTTCTGTACCTGCAGACTTGCTGGCTACTCCTGACAAGAAGATGACCAGGAACTATTTCCATGTATACCTTGTGCTTTAGGCTGTATTTTTTTGGAGAGGGGCTGGCTGGACAGAGAATGTCAGTGGGAGCAGTGACAGACGATGCCAGTCGTGATGTACATTGTTTTTATAACCAGTCTCCTTTGAATCCTTCTGGACAGATTTAAACCTTTCATCTGGAAACTTGTGCCCTTTTCCCCCTGACACTATCAGGAAATGGTCTGGTCATTCTTCGTGAAGAAAAATAAGTGAAGTAGTGTCAGCTTGTACAGTAGGTGCCAAGTGTTCCTCAGTGAGTTAGGCTCTCCCCCTCCCTCAGTTAGCGTACTTAGCAAAAACACAGTCTTTTACCTGACTTTATTCTATATCAGTGTGTGTATCAATAAGCACTGAAGTTGATAAAAATATAACTGTGCTACTGTGATTTAGTGTTTTGTGTTAATTGGTAATTGTGTGTGCCATTTTATGAACTCTGTTCTGTGGTAGTCAGGTAGTTGTGCAAATGACGGGAGTACTGAATTTAAAGAATCAGGAGACCTCAGAGACTAAGATCTTCACATGTGTTGTTTTTAGATGGCCACTGATTGAAGGTGAAGCTCCCATTCCTAGGGATATGTAGTTGCAGCACTTCCTTCTGGAAGAATTAAATTCTTTTTTTTTTTTTTTTTAAGTTTTATGTATAGTTTCACAAGACAGACTGAGCCAAATGAACAGCTTGCTGCTCTTTACTCCCCCTACTTATTTTGAGTTGATTCTGGTGTTTGTTTGATCACATGAGAGGCCAAATTCAACTCAGTAAAATAGCAACAAAGACAAAAAAAACCACCTGGCAAGATGTTAACGGGTTTTTTTGGCTGGTGGAGTGTGTTGAATTGGTTTATGTTAAAGCAGATGAGCAGCAGAGCTGGTATGAGGAAGAGATGGCTCCTGCTGGGATGCTGAGATTATGGAAGGAGGGAACTGGGAGCACGACCTCCTTGCCTGCCTGGCAGTGGAAGCTAGTAGTTTGTTTATCCACGATATGAAATTGCATTCCTACTGGATTTGCACTGGGAACTGATGTGGTGTGGTCTGGTTTAGTCTATGTAGTAGCAATTGCTGAAGCCTTAAAGCTGTCACGAGTCTGCTGGTGTGACAGAAGAAACTAGTCTGGTTGTAGTGTGAGTGCTTGCCATTAATTTGGCACCTGCATTGTTTTTCTCTGTAGAATGAGTCCTTCTGCCTCCAAATGCTGAAAAAAAACCAGAAGGCTTGAGCTCCTGCCTAGTTTTTTCCTCTCCTTTCTGAGCTAGGATTCTACAGCATGTGGCGGTGTCATGGGGAAGCCTCTGTTCCTGCTGTCTGTAGTCTGCAGATAGGAATTAATCTCTGGAGGCTATTGTCCTTTCCTTCAGACTCTCTAGGGTTAAAAAGCAGAGTGTTACATTTGCTCACCACTAGTCAAAATTACAGCCAGACATATAGTAAGATTATTTTTGTGGTTTTAGGAGCAAGCATTTTTTTTGTAATCAAGACCTGCTGAAACATCTTTAAATCGCATAATTGATAAATGAGGCAGCTGTGAGCAGAGGCAGCAAAAGTGATGTCTGAAAGCTGCTTTGCTGAGTCTGCAACTCACAGGTTATCTTTCCTTCTGCAGGAAGGAGAGAAAACCTCATGGACATTTTTTTGATTGCTCTTTTCCTGGCACAGTGGGATCTTGTTGCTAAGAAGCACCTGACATCAGTCATTTCTCTTTCTTGCAAGAACTTCAGCCCTGTATCTTCTACTCAGTGACTAATAAATGCACATCCTACGAGATATCTCCATGATGTTACTAAAAAAAATGGCATAATGTAATTTTAACTATGCTAGCTGAAGGATGTCTCTTTTTGTCTTTACAGGTTGCAATGTTGTTATTGCCTCTCGTAAATTTGACCGATTAAAAGCTGCTGCAGAAGAACTGAATAATACATTTTCTTCCATGAGTCCTGCCAAAGTGACTCCAATACAGTGCAATATCCGTAAAGAAGATGAGGTAAAGACTAGTGATCTTGTGCTGGGGCTTAACATGTCAAAAGCATATTGTGTATATAAATTTTCAGATCTCCAAAGGTCTTCTCTGTCCCTCTCAAAAGTGGCTTAGGTCAAACAAAAGGTACAGTAAAGCACTGTTAAATTGACCTAGATAAAGATGTGCTTTCCAAGGGAAAACCATTTGTTAGCCACCTAAGCAAGAAAGCATTTGTAATTGCAAATATTTCTCTGACCATGCATACGTATTTCAGATATTTCTGGGAGAAGCAGGACTTGGAACTGTCATGTTCTACAGCCAAGCCAGTTCTCACTTAGCATGTTTCCGTGTCACATTTCTGTGACAGCAATGAGGGGGCATTACTTATGAAGATGGAGACCTCACAATAGTTCCTTCAAACAGGAAGTCACAGCATGAAATCTCAACATTTGTGACTTATTATTTTTTAGCCATGTTTCAATTTTGGTTACCGTTTGAGGTGTGCCTTATTACAAACTCTGTTACTATCCCAGCTGAGTTTTTTCTTTTTTCTTCATATTACAAGTAATGGAAGATCAAGAACAAAAGTATTTAATCCAGGTTCTTCAGAAGTCTGCATTTACCTCCTAATTCTTTAATCTGTGTAATTAAACATTTAAAAGCCTAGCATCAGTTTGGAATTGTAGCTTACTGAAGATAGCTAGAAAATATTCCAGTAACCACTGATTGCTACGTTTTTCTTAACCTTTCAAAGTCTCTGTTAAAGTCTAACATGACTTAAAGAAATATTTATGACCTTCAGTACCTATGTAGAGTCTGGAAATACCCTAATATACAACCATAAAGCAAATAAAACATAAAATTCTTCCCTCATGGAACAGCTCATGCCATAAAATATTTATAGTGCTATAGTTAGACTTTTTCTCCTGAAGGAGATTAACCCTGGGGCTGTGCAGTATGTCACTTCACCTACCAGTGAATTTTAGGTTTGTATTTACTGGCATCAGCAGTGCGATATAATAGGTTATGACAGATGTCAGAGGACAACTTACGTGATTAAAGCTACAGGAAAGAAAAGAGGTAAAGAGAGAGAAAAGGCTTAAGCCTTCTTTCACATCACTGCTCTTGCAGAAAGTACTCTGGCATGCTTAATAGCCTTCTGCAGGTGAATCTTATTTCTGCATCACTTTAAAAATGATTTAGTGGGAACTGCAGTGTTTTGTGAGATGGTAGACAGCTTGGATGGTGCAATGAGGTAATCCTCCACTAAACAAACTACCATTCTTTCTTTGTTTCCTGTTTATTAAGTGTGGCTAAGTACATATTTGACAAAACAGTCTTAGGTGGGTTTGGAAAGTTTTTTGAAGGTGCCTTTAAAGCCTTTTGTATAGTGCTGTGTAAAGTGTTCAGGCATTATTCTGTGTTACCAGTAGCCATGCTGGTATTTGGAGAAACTTCTGTCTTTGCTAATACCCTGCGGTTTCACCATAGAATTGTCTTGTTTCGGGTTTAGTTTTAAGCTCTACTAATTTACAGACACACCAGGACTTTCTTAGAACTTTTCATATGATATTGGAGAAGCTTCTATCAGGTGTCTCCTGACAGTGGAAGTTCTCATAAACCATTGTCATTTCATATCCATATCTGTTGAAGAGAGGACTCAGAGGAATAAGGTAGAATAAACTCCAGTCTTGAATTTTTCAGTCATTGACTCAGTCTTACAGTTTGACTCACTTCAGTTCTCCAACTGCTCTTACTTCTTTCTGTTAAAGTCCTATTTAGAAAAAAAATCATTATGAAAATTTAGTAAGCCTTTGTGAAAGTTTTGAGTAAGGAATGCAATTTCTGTTGCACGCTAACATAAGAACTTAAATATACCCACTAAACAAATATTTATCCATTCCAGATGCCTATCTCCAAGAGCAGATATTTTTACTCCAAGACCAGATATTTTTACTGGTTGGAGACATCCTGTGATTTTTTTGTTCTTCAGTTCTGCTTTTTCTGGCTCTGTCCTCCTCTGTTAGTTCTTTAATGTTGAGATTCTCAAAGATTGCTAAATTCTGGCCACTTGTTACTTAATTTCTAAAATTAATATTGGACCAGAAATGTGTGGATCACATTTTCATCTTTTAAATTTGTAGTGAGTATAGCACTTCCTTACACTTAGGTGCTTAGTGTTTGTGAGTTGAAGCTAGATAAATTAACAGTTGGTAACTTACACTGCTAAAAACTGTCAGAACTTAGAACTGAGGGTTGTGGCAGATTTTCCACAATCCACTGGTCACTATTGCTTATTTATTATATTTGCTAAAAGCAGCAATGGCGAGTACTTTTTTTTAATTGGCACTTGATTGTCTTGTGCAGACTAGCGGAAAAGTACCTTTGGGCTTTTGCTTCTATTGAAAGAGCATCATACATCCACTTTCAAAACTTACTCCATTCTTTACATAAAATTTAGTGCCTGGGACTTGGAGTCTTAGGAACAGGGATCAGTAAAAGATGTAGTGAAGGATTTTTCTAGTCTAGGAGGTAAATCTTGAGCAGAGGCAACAGTCCTGGTTTCAGCTAGTGTAGAGTTAATTTTCTTCCTAGTAGCTGGCATAGTGCTGTGTTTTGGATTTAGGATGAGAAGGATGTTGATAACACACTTATGTTTTAGTTGTTGCTCAGCAGTGCTCACACCGGTCAAGGACTTTTTCAGTTTCCCCTGCTCTGCCAGGTGCACAAGAAGCTGGGAGGGGGCACAGCCAGGACAGCTGACCCCAACTGCCCAAAGGGATATTCCGTACCATATGATGTCGTGCTTGGAGGGGGTTGGCCGGGGGAAAGTGATTGCTGCTCAGGGATGGGATGGGCATTGGTCAGAAGGTGGTGAGCAATTGTACCATGCATCACTTGTTTTGTATATTCTATATATTCTCTTACTATTGTTATTGTTGTTATTGTTGTTCTTTTCCTCTGCAGGTTTAGGTTAGACATTAGGAAAAATTTCTTCACTGAAAGGGTTGTCAAGCATTGGAACAGGCTGCCCAGGGAAGTGGTTGAGTCCCCATCCCTGGAGGTATTTAAAAGATGGGTAGATGAGGTACTTAGGGACATGGTTTAGTGATGGGATGGCAGGGTTAGGTTGACAGTTGGACTTGATGATCTTAGAGGTCTTTTCCAACCTAAACGATTCTATGTTTCTAAACTGTCTTTATTTCAATCCACTGGTTTTACTTTTTATCCGATTCTCTCCCTCTCTTGTGGCTGGAAAGCTGCCTGGTGGAAAAAGACCTGGGGGTACTGGTTGACAGCCGGCTGAATATAAGCCAGCAGTGTGCCCA